ACCACCACTCGTCTGATTATATATATTTTTTTATACACTGTGATTTTAGAAAAAGAGAGATCCAATGAATACTTGGGATGATCATGATTAGGTTTAAATGGTCTTGATTTAGTTCAAATTTCAAGCCAAATGCAATTTGCCCATCCTCGCAATTAATAAATGGACGTTATTTTTGATCGATAAGAATTAATTAAATATGACAAAAAGTAATTTGAGTAAAGAGGTCAGATTTTCCACTGCCTAGTATCCGCCTCATCTCTTCTAGAATCTAAGAACCATCCTGAGTTTTAATTTTAAATACACGCCCCTTTTTTAAACAACCCCTTACAGTTATCAGTTGGAACCACCACAACCGGAACTTCGAAAGTTGAGTAATATGTTTGAGTTCGTGTTGCGCGATAGTAACACTTCTCGGCAATGACCGAGTATCATATTTCCAGTTTGCTAACAACTTTCCACATTTGCCTCAGAATCCTTCGCGATTTCGCTATGTACAACTAGCGGGCTGGGAAGGCTGGAATTACTCAGGGGTATATATATTTTTCCGGTTACTCTTCTCCATAGTTTCGGCTGCTTATACAGGGTGTCCTAGTAATTATGACGGAATTCAGAAATGTCAATTTCATTTTAGAAACGGAATTACAATTTTTGTGATACTTGTAATTATTTCGAAAATGTAATGGGTGAACTTTTTTGGTTAGTTTATACTTTTATATAATTCTTTATATAATCCTTCGATCTTTGTTAGAAGTAATTACGAAAAATTGTTTACTCTTTGCTGTTACCCTTAATTAGTTTTCAGTCTAGGTCCTTTTTCTTTTCATTCGTGGAATATAGGTGGAACACTGTCAGTGTAAATATTCTATTTACATCGTAGAAATGGAAAAATAATTGAGATAATTCTTAACTCTATTATCGTAAATGAAATTACTTGATTGAAATGGCAGAAGGGAGAAGCTTATATCAGTTGTAAGAAAGGAGAGTTGAAAAGGAAGGTCTTGAAAAAGAAATATCAAGAGTTAAATGTTTTAATTCTTTATAATCATCGTTAGCTCATTACTTAAGAGTACTATTAATTAAAAATTTAGAATTATATACATTTCATGTTTCGTCTCTATTTCAATATCAAGTAACAGTTAGCCCCGTGAAAAATCGAAGGATCATCTCGCGACGGTTATATTTCATAAGCTCCGAACGAATTGAATGCAGTGGATGCTTATCTTTATCTGATACCACGGTCGAACTTATGCCGACAATAGGAAGCAGCTTGAGCTAATAATATTCTTCCCTCGCGGGCAAAAGGAGGCGGTAAGTTCGGAATCAGAAAACGGCGAGGGTTACTTTGGTGCGCGAGCCTTTTCCTTCGGCAAGTTTCTTCTTTGTCCCGCAACAGGAGCCTTCCAGCAGGCGGGTTCTCTTTTTTAAACTGACAAGAAAAGCATTGTGCAGAAAACTTGCACGCGCCGAGCGAAGCCGAGCCAACGACTGGTCGTACTTGTACGAGGGCCGCCACTCTTTTGATATTTCAACGTAGTAGACGAGTGGCGTGTCGTAATGAAATCATCTCCAGTGCTTTGATCTTCCCCTTGCTCGCCTCGCTTCTTTCCACCACGAGCAACCTCCGCGTCGCTTTCCCTTGAAAACGGGCTATACGCAACCCCTAGTTCCGACCATCCTTCTCCAACCAACTTTCCACCACCACCACCCCCTCTTCATTCAACATCTCTCTCTCTCTCTTTCTCTCTACCCCCTTCTCTCTTCTCTTCGCTTCTTCATAACTTCCTCTTTCACCCACCCAACCTCCAACACCATCGTTTCGCTCGTAATGAGTTCCTTCCGCGCTTTCTTCGTCACTGCGATACATTTTTACCATGCGAGAAGCAATCTCCTAATTATGGCAAGCGCTAACTGGTTGTCCTTTGTCGACAGAACGGCCCCTTTCTTTCCTTGCCACCGACAGTCGGCACGTAATTACTTTCTCGCGAGAAAATGCACGCGGCCACGAAGAACGGAAAGCTGTAACGGGCCCGCGGACCGTGATAATTCATCGCGTACCAGTTGTTAAACGTCGAACTAAATTAGATCAACGAATTTTGGATGTCGTTTAATGGATCGGGAGGTACCTTTTTTTTTTATTGGAAGGTGAAGGTTTAGATTGATTACTATGGATATTAAAATTTGTTATTATCTAATAGATACCCCATCATTACCCAGTATCTATCGTTCGAATCACTGGTACCCATAGTAGTTGATAATGCGTAATTATTCTCGAGTAATACACCATCCTAACGAAGTTTACCGATATCTAAACGAGTAGTTGTTCCTGGAATAATCCAGCAGGGAAATGGCTTTCAGAAGCATCCACGAAAGTGTTTGCATTAAACACAATAAAGTAGGGACGATTTTTTGAGAAGCAATAACGCGAGGCACGATCCATCGGACGTTACATCGGCGGACATTGAAGTTGATCGATACAGGAGATAAGAGCGTCGAACAAGACACCAATAGATAAAGCAGAGGAAGAAGGAGGAGTGGGTCGTTCTTCTTTGTACGAAAGAACCACGAACCGTGGGTAGGTATATAAGGTGTATCGAGCAACAAGGACTAACGGCCTTTAATTAATAAAGTTACGGGAACAACTCTCAAAGTCTTCCTGCTCCTTCTACGCGAGTCTTCCCATCGGCGTACCAGCTATTTCCCTTGCTTTAGAAATTCTCCTATTCCCTTTCCGCCAAACTTTTCTTCTTTATCGCTTCTTCCTTGAACGCTCACCTTGCAAACTTCTAACCCTTTATTGGATGAAAACTGCACCTTATCTTCAAGGTTTACTTGTATTTCCATTAATTGCAGCCTCTTGATAATCAGTAAGCGTTTCAGAGCTTCCTCCGGTGTATATTGAAAGCATTTTCAGATTCGCAGAAATAATTTACAAAGTATTTAGTCACCGAATGCTTCACATTTAGGGTGTTCCAAACAGAAACACATATACCTAAGAATTTATTATAACAAATTTTGCAAACATTTCTATAGGAATAGAATTTTATTAAAAATTATTTACATCTGTTCCAATTAATACTATTATTAATTAATTGTCTGTTATTCGTAAATATACCCAAATGTGTTCTATGCTGTGTACACGTAACAGTATATAGAATTACATTGTTATGCACACAATATGTAAACTGTACACCTGGGTATACACGAAACGTAATTTATATTAATATTGTCTAAATGCAGACACGTTCCAAGCTCGGTTCATATATTACAAGAAACTTGTGTTTAAATGAAACACTTGTATTATTTTCATAAACGTGTACATATATCACTGTCATTCCATTTGAAATAATTTTAACACGGTTATTTCTGGTACCTTGATTTTCTTGTGAAAAATATTATAAACTTCAGGGGACTATTTACTTTAATTTAACCTCGTTTCCTAAAAAAAATTGATGAGACGATCAATTCACACGATTCCTTTGCTGACGTCTCCACCCTTTTACACTCCTGGTTGATAATTGATAACCAGCACGATACGTCTTTTCTTCCGATCGGCGAGCCGGCGCCAACGGTGAAGAGGGTCGTATCTCGTATCATATCGTTTCGTGGAATACCACGCGAGAGAGGAAACACCACCCGCGGATTGCCAGACTCGAAGAATTAAAGGGAAGTTCTCGGATGGCTGGCAACGGTAGCGTGTCGCTGCGTATCTTCGGCGACGGTGGCTCGAAAGGAACCCCGCGCCGCGACTTATGGCTCGCTAAAGAAAATTGACTTGAATCCTAGCCAGGATAATAAAAGCGCGTCGCCGCGAGGATACACGGGCGAGAAGAATTGAAGAAAGCAATATGGACATAGGACTGTGAACCAGAAACTGCCTACAAGATTGACCGGTCAAGTTACTTGAATTCAACTAACAAGTACAACTTATTTACACTAAGGTAAGGTGATTTCAAGTTTGGATTCATTCAAGTTACTTGAATTAGAATTTGTACTTGTACAAGTGAAGCCACTTGACTTGAAGTCGCTTTAATTCAAGTGCCATAAATTTAAGTAGTAGAGCTCTTAAATAACGCAGACAGTATTCCTTTCTGTAAGAACAATTCTCCTCTTCTTTCGTGGTACTTGAAAGCAAAAGCACAAAATTGATATCCGTCCTGATAAATATCCCCAGAAATTTTTAATCAAAAAGTTCGGTGGAAAACGAAACCAAAAATTAATATAATGTTAATTGTCGTTATAATTGCATGAATAATTTAGCGATTCAATCAAAGGATAACACTTTGAAGAACATAATTCATGCGTTAATGCGTATTGTTGGCAATAATTTTCACGCGACAACATAATAAGTTCGTTTTCGATAAATACATGTTGACAAGGTCAGGTAAAATGTATACGATCCCGGTTGGATCATATAAGCAAAGAATTGTTATTTTATTTATAGTCGGTCAGTTCCGATTTTACGTTCAACTGAATGCATTGAATTGAACCGGTGATATGTAAATCAGCGAACTGGAATTCTAGTAACTCGATGATAAACGGCTCTGTCCTGACTATTGAGACACGAGCATTATTTCTTCCCTTTTTTAACTGTCACGATCACCAATGATGGATCGGAGGATTGTTGGGATATTCCTGTTAGCTTTGAACAGAAACGGGGTGAAAATTCATTGCACCCTGTGCGACTTGCGATTCTTTTTGTTCCTTATCGTAGGTGCTCATAAACAAATCTTTTGTTACTGTATTAACCTATAAATGATAAAAGGATTAAGGTAGTGTCCTGAGTCTAGACTACCCAAGTGAGTATAAATCTTGTAGTCACTGATATAATATAGTAACTACGATTCTCCATGTGCAGCATGACCTAAAGCCATCCAAAGGTATGAAGACCGTCTTCGCTGCGATGCCTTTGGGGCACAACAGGAAGCATGATTCTTCCAGTTGAATGAAAATATTCCAGGCGAGAAAGCATGATGAAATAATGATGCAAACATTCTTTTTACCTTATTCGGTGTCGTCGCTTGTTGCTGCGGCGAACAACTGGTGCTGTGTATGGTCGGCTGGTTAGTGGTAGCCGGCACAATGCCTTGGTGATTCAGGTGGCTCAGCTGATTGAGCTGGGTGAGTTGTTGCGGTTGCTGCACCGGATTCTGGGTAGTGGCCTGCAGCTGTTGATGATGCGTCTGATGCGCAGGGTGGGTCGTCTGGTGATGCGTCGCGGGGAAGGTGGGCACCGTGAACGGGACGAACAGCATCGGGCTGCCGAGGATGTGCGCACCACCTCCACCCAATGCCCCCGTCTCCTCCCTACACCTTTTTCGTGGGTTTTTGGGCTTTCGATAACTCTTTTCTTTTAATCCATCAATCGTGTTTCTTACTTCGACGTGAACTACTACGTAATACTCTTTATTTTGTATATTGTATACTTTTGATATTGACTAAACACTGCCGACACGACGACGACGAGCAGAGTAGAAGCAGATGTAGCGGTAGTAGTAGTAGTAGTAGAGGTTAGAAGTAGTGGTAGTGGTATTGGTAGTAGTAGTAGTAGTAGTAGAGTTAGTACTATATGTGTCGAAGTGAAGCTACTAATGTATGTTTAGTAATTTACTATTACCTGCACTCCTGCCCCAGCCCCTGGTGCTGGGGGTGGGCGTAGGGGGCGGCTCGGACGGAGGTGGTGGACGCCACCCTCGCTACCCTCAGCGATAGACCGCCCCGCTGACTGGTAAGCTGGACCGAAGCTGGCTGGTGATCGCTATGCACGCAGCAACAGGCACGGCAACCAATCGGTTGTTGCTGACTCGGTATAGCCTGGAGGTGATGAGTTAAGGGGCCCCTGGGCCCCGTGGAGGAGGGAGAACACGGGTACACCCCAACAAGGCAGCCCACCACCGCAGCCCCGGGGCCCGGTGCACTTGGTGCCAAGGCGCCTGTGGACGAGGCCACCCCAACCTCCCTGGCCCTCCTGCAACCACTGCACCACTGCACCCACCCTCCTTGTTGAGGGCTCTGATACGGCCTACTGACGCCGAGCGTTGACCTGGACTGGACCACTTCCACCTGAGCCTCTTTATGTTCACGATCCCCTGCGGGCGGGATTTTGCTGTTTTGCAGCTCTCCTAGGGTAGCCAATTCCAACCGCGTTTTTTTTCTTTAATTATCCTTGACCTTCTCACTGATTTCTATCTCCGACCGGTGTCAATTAATTTGTCAAATTAAGAAATTAATTATCTTCAGACGCTTCACTTCGACCTGCTTCCTTCTTCACTTCCTCGATTGGACCACTCGCTGTGCAGCTCTCTTCGCAAATAAGACTATCGAAGTCAATGGACGTTCTGTTTATTTCAGTGATTATTTCTTTTAAATTCAACAGACGTTTACTCGCAAGTAGTCAACAAAATCAGCTTCTTCGTTGTATAAATTTACTCTAGCTCCTTCCAAACTATGGAGACGCGTTTCTCGCAGGACGTTAAGGGCCAGTGGACAGATGTTCAACTACGATTGCTATAATCAGTCTTGATGTATTTTAATGCACCTTTAATTGTCCTAACAGGTTGGGTAAGAAAGTATTGCTCTGCGGAAGTCTCGTTTGGTGTGTACCGAAAACCCTTGGCGTGGGTGATGCACACTCATAACCACGTGGTCGACTTCGGTAGCCTCGTACGTCTGTCCCTTAGATCACCGCACCAAACACGGCTAGCATGTTTAACTTCTCGATACAGCTGGTAGAAAGTTTCCTTTTATCCTGTAAATCTTTGAAGAACGAGTTGCAGCCGTGGTCGGTATCAAATATTAAAAACCCGACGCCGTATTTGCCGGTTCAACAAGTACACAATTGATTGCTCCCCTGTTTCTTCCTTTCGCTAACCAAGTTTATCCGCTGCCGATGTTTGTGTCGAACTGTCAGCAATATTTTCTCGCCAATTCGTCGTGCTTTCGCATCGACTCTGCGGTGGTCGAAAATTGTAGCAGCTCAGCACTTCCGACGTTGATGATTCGATGTCCGCAGGAAATACTGTTTCTATTCTCACCGGTTATCACGATTCGCGCGCACAACTGTAGAACACGTTCCCTGATGAATTCGCACGATGATCGCGACTACGCACCGTCACTGTCAAAATGGCATCTCTGTTTCAATTGTTGTTTAACACTGGTCATTGGCTGAAATGCGACAAACCGTGTATCAGTTAGCAAGTACATCAACAGTCATCGTCACATCCGTTATCCTACGTGCAACAGCAGCAACCTCGATATTTAACCGATTAGCCTGCCGTGTATCCCAGTCAGGAGGTCCTCGCGATCCTGTTGAATGAGGACGAAGACGCGACGGGCGGAAAAAGAGGGAACCTAACCCGTAATGTTGGAAGGTCGCTCGCCGACTGACTAGCACTTCCGTTCAGGCTGTTGTGCGATTCAGAGTGGGGGATGCTTCGTTGGGTTGTTGTGTGTAGGGGCTGGTGGCGGTGGGTAGACTCGTTGGTTGGTTGGCCGGGGTGGTTGTGTGTGCTCGGCTCGTGCTGTGCGCGGGAAACCAGGGGGCTTCGAGCCTTTACAAGCGACCCGGCAAAATAGCCACCAGTTTCACGTGGCTCGCACTACCTTCGCATCCAACTACCTTCCTTTACTTTTTCCTGGGCGTCGATATCACTTGCCGCCGGATCTCCTGTACCCTTCTTTTCTTTACCTACCAACGGCCAGTGGTGTGCAAGTATTTAGGCCATCTACTACGAAGTGTCTTCAGCTCTAAGGACACTTCTGCACGTTCTCTTGTCCGTCAGATCAGTGCGGTACCGTGGTGGTCACTCTGTTAGGTCCAAACTAAGGAACAATCTTTCCGTGCTGAATGTATAACAACACTAACGATACACGCACACACTCGGTTACAAGAAATCCGAAACACTTCACCTGTAAAACAAGCAGAAGTTACGTGGACTGTCAAGAAACTTCGCGAAACCGACAGGCGAGGCTGTATCCGTCGGATAGAAGCGGAAATTCGCGGGTCACACGGTTCCTCCTTGGTCGTTGGTGCACGTGCTCGAGCGGTTCCTCCTTTGTCAAACACAACCGGTAAACACACTGAACTACGCACTCGGAGACACGAATCACAATGGATACCGGCACTCGCGTGGTCGGCTCGAAATGATCCCGCTGGATCGAGATCACGACGGGTAACGACGGGTAAAAAACGAACGAATCGGTCCGTCAGCGTGCTCGGCCTGTACGCGTGCGTCGCCGTAGCCGCTTGTTGTGTTTACGAAGCACCGTTGTGTGTGTGCGTGTGTGTGTATGTGTTGGTTGTTGCGGTCGGGCGGGCTGAGGGGTTGAGGACGGAGAAGGGTGCCGTGTCCTCGTGCGGAGGACACCGAACAACCGTAGGGAAAGATGGACAAACGGGGAGAGACGATGATGCCTAGTGGCCTAGTGCGTGGCTATGGATTTGCTGGAGCGCTGTGTGACCTGCACGTAGGTAGGTAGCGTGGAGACAAGAACCGTGTATCGCAATGTATCGCGGTGGTGGCGACGACGACGACGACGACGACGGCGGCGGCGGTGGCGGCGGCAGCGGCAGCGGCGGTGGTAAATGGAGGGGTGGCTTTGCCAGGATGGAGGGGCGAGTGGGTGGAAGGAGGGAGTCTGACTCGTTCCTTCGTTCCCTCGAGGTGGTGGAAGAGAGGGTAGATCGGACGTTTGGGAGACCGAGGGCGCGCAAAGCGCCGTTGCTCAGGGGTTGGAAACGGCTGCGAGTGGAACTGGCTCTCGGTATTGTTTCACCTGCAGCGATTTTTAATTATAATCTTTCCTTCTTTCTCTTTTTTTTGTTTCTATATGATTTCTAACTAATTCGATGGGACCTATCGACTGACCATTGTCCGTTAATAATCACTCGATCGGGATTTGCGTTCATGTCTCGGAAGTGAGTGGTATGGTTGATTAATTTTCATATCCTTTTGTTTATATTGAATTTAGGGAGATGAATAACTGTGGATAGTGATTATTAGTGAATCGGATTTAATAGAAATTCTTGTGGACCTCAAAGATCCTGTTTCGATCACTATGAGTTGATAGGGAATTAACGATCCGTATTGTACTTTTAGTTTCAAAGTTTATGGAGATTTAAAAAGTTAATCTCAGCGGACAGTTTGGAAAATAGAAAATAAAAAACTCGAATAACTTTTTTCCCCCTTTTTTTTTCTTTTCACGAGGCAAATTAATTTGTTCCTCCTCGTCTTCGTTAGTTGACTACGAGGCGGGAATAACCAAAGGCCTGTGGTCGGCACAGCATCGATCGGTACCCGTCATTTTTGTCCACTTTGTCGCGCGTGTTAATTAAAAATTGCTCACGGTCATTGTCGTGGAAGAAATCACGCGGGTCCCTGTAATTAAATCCGCGATGAATTCTCGTCAATCGACTATCAAGCAATCATTCAACGGCACGCGAACGCTCTGTGATTTAAACATTTCGTATTTTCGCTTGTGCCTGTCGAACAGGCACGATTTATTAATTATTTTCTATCTAAAGCTCTGTCAGATTGATGCTTTCGAACTATTATAGAATTAGATAAATGAAGATCAATATTTTAATTAATAATACTTTCTTTACTTAAGCACTTACCTGTTTATAGAAAGAGGTATTTTGTTTAACTAGTAAATAGAATTTCTTCGATTCAACGCCCTTTTACCTTCATTAATTATCTTCCGCGGAAAATGCATGCACGCCTTGCAGGGAACCATAATCGGTTAATCCCAAACAATATTAAAAGTTAATCAAGTTCCAAGGCAGTTCACGTTCTAACAAGGTGCAAGCAAACTATGCATTATCACGTCGTCAATTTATTTCTAGGGCAAACTTCTAAACCGTAGCATTACTGTTCATAAGTGTCCATAAACCGAAAGAGTTACTCCTTTCGAACTCATAAATGCTTTACGATCATGGCATCCCATATACCATTTGGTAATGAACTCAAATCATTGCTCTTCATGATCCTCACTGGAATGATACGAGACCAAGCGATAGCTCCCTATCCTAGCTATTAATTGAAATTTTAAATGGTTGTTAAAAATATCTCTTTATAGACCATAGGATACGAGAAATAAATAATCTTAATATTTTAAACATTTAAAAAAACTACACGAGTTATATGATATAAAGTAATGCAACATAATGATTATGAATTGCAATTTGGACAATGATAATTTTTTTATTTCACCATCTACTGGAGATCTGATCCTAGATCTTCTCCTCGCTTTGTCATTGCCATAAACGTATTTATCTTCGTCGAACGTTTCCACAAGAGTGGTCGATGTTTCCCGCAGGACAAACAGCATCTAACAGCCGCCACAGACACGAGTCGCACTTTGCGTACGGTAAATTTCGTATTTTCACGGCTAATGACTGAGGAACGAAACGGTAATGTATTCCATGCGGAACATCTACTATGCGCTTACCATTAGCATCTGTAATGCGTGCCTACCCCTTGCCCTGGCCCGCGAGCGTTGATGCTCGGTGTAAACCCATCAACGGTGCCATTTGTAGCACCGTTCAGCGTTCGTGTGTGCAGACAAAAGTAGTCTACTGCTCTCTGTTACGACACATATGCAGAGAGACAATGATACTTAGACATTAAGTACTTACTGCATGGCTGTACTTCTGAATAGACGTACCAAATGATCTTCAATTCGAGATCATCCCTTGACAAAGGGAGGGTAAAGAGAATTCAATGGGTAGTGGTTGGTCAGTTTAAAGGAAAATTACCATCAACGTCTTCCTATTGCAAGATGATGGCGTTAGAAATCTATTAATCATTAATTTTTTGTTTTTTAATATTTTTTTGAAAATAAATCTTGTCACTTCGCGAATTAAAATGTACAGAACGATGCACGTTATTTTTAGCAATTTTATCAGATATTTGTTACGAATAATATATAATGGTAATGAGTGATTAATTCTTTCCAAGATTTCAAGCCAATCGATGTTCTTTTCATCCTAACGCGATAGCTAATGTCGCGATGAAAAGAGGGTAGAATTGACAGAAGCCATTTGAAAATCGCAGCAGTATGAAATTCTAGGCATTTTTCAGCCGGTTGGTAGGAAAAGCTACGATAACCAGTGAAAATTAGATGCACCATTAAAAACGTTTCACACGTCACTCGAACATAGCACGTCGTTATCGTCGCTTGTCGCAGTTTCTTCGTGACGTCCTTCAAATCTA